GTGGAAGATGATGCTTTAGTTAGATGAGCCCAAAATAGGGCATTTTGGCTCAAATGCAAAAATCTATTTGTGGCAAAACAAAACAACGCATAAACAATAATAAGCAGGATAAACCTTAATCCAGGGTGATGCTGCGTTAAAGGAGACTTTAGGCGGAGGTTCCTCTTTCAGCAGGGCAACAATGTTTTTGGCTAAGAAGCCTTGAACCCTTCGCACAGAAAGTGCAAAAGGCTTGGAGCTGTAATTGTTTCCATGGTGACCCAGTTACTTTAAACAAGACAACTTTGGTCTCAATCTACATTTTTGACGATGAGACAGTGACTTACTAACCCAAACCCTAACAGCACTGGTAGTTTGAAATGAAGCCAAAACTAGTGTTGGTCACTCTGCATTGTTGGTGCAGATATATGTTACCTTTTGCTGCCCAATCAGAATAAAAAAGTAAAATATCTCCTTTTAGCAAACTACTATTTTTTATCTAGAAGTGCTGCAGAACCACTTAGCATAACTATATCTGTTAGTTCAGCGAAGTTCATGTAACATTTTACCTTTTTCAGATTTATTGAGGGGCATACTTGCCCTAATGTTCATGCCCCATCCAGGGTCACTGCTACTGCCCTTTAGTAAAATCTGTCAGGTCCTCTTTGACGCAGATCCTTTTCCTGTCAGGGTGAGATTTTTATTGTTCCAAGGGTGCAGCCCGCCGAATCTCATTCCCCCAGCCTTTTCCTGTTTCCTCCAAAAGAGGAAGCGCTGCTTTGCTTCGGCTCGTTTCCATCCTGCATCTTCTCTGGGACAAATCTGGAATGCTGGAGCTGCAGAACGTAGCTTGTTGTATGGCCAAGTCTTGATTTCAAAGAATGAAAAGAGCTCTTTAAAGAAGCACACCCTCCAACTTTGGTCTTTGTTACACAAGCTCTCGCATAAAAAAATAAAAAATAAAGGCAGGCTAAGACGTAAAGAGGAGCGTACTTTCAAAAAACCCCCATGATGTTTCAGATCCTACGATCTGACATGTCCCGGCTGAGCCGTAAGCCTGGAAGGTGTGTGCTCACCTGCATCCCTGAAGTAGAAAGTTCCCATGGTGCCTCAGCACGTAGGCTCTTTGTTATCGCTCAGAAAATAGCTCTTTGTGTGCAGCAACTGCCAGATCCAGCATTCACTCGTGCTGGGTCCGCTTAAAAAAGACCAAACGCTGGCCCACCTTCAACACCAACACTAAGTTTAGAATAAAATGTGACTCGGTATTAAGCAATTTTTCAATATTAACCCACAAAAAGAGGCAGTTTAACTTATGATTGATGTCAGATTAAGTTAACCATCTCTAGCATAAATGCAGAAGTTTTTCTGCACGCATACACAGAGCAGTTGGACGTGTTGTCAGGATGACAAGTGGGTCCTTGTTGTCTGACATCTCTCAGTCTGTTTAAAGGCAGAGGAGGAGCAGCATTTGTCTCTATTCACACATGCTGAGAGCTGCACCCCAAACAGGCTTTTAAGGCCTAAAAATGGGGGTCAGTCTGAATTCAGCCTTTTAATGAGTCTTTAAAATCCATAAGACATCATTTTGACATGCAGACAAAAGCTGGCATTTTAAATAATTTTCCCCCTGGTCTTTGTCAATCAAACTACAATTAAACCAAATTATTCTTTGCAAAATAGTTAAGTTTATTCAGGTTAGAAGGAAAACAACTCAATAATAATTCTGCACTTTTTCTGTGTTTTCTAGTTTTATTGGATTAATTCCTATTTTGTGTTTTCTGGATGTATTTGAGTTCTTATGTATTTCTTGTTTGCTGTCTGTTGCCCTCTTGTGTCAGTCTCCTTTCCCCCTAGCTCCCTTCTAGATTCCTCTGTCTACACCTGCTCCCAATCTGCTGATTAGCCTGGTCCTTGTTTCTCTCTCCCAAATATGCACCTCCTGTTCAATCACTGTTTACAGGTTCTCCTGCATCATTTCTTTGCCCTTCATGTGAGTTTTATCTGATGTCTTCTGTTTTTTTTCTCTATTTCATTATTTGTGGATTTTTGCTTCTGTTGACACATTTTTGGAATTGCGAATACCAACCTCAGCCTTCAGCTCTGCATTTGGTATGATGCTCCCACCACCATGTCTATGTTTATGGCTTAGGGTGGAGGTCTTCAACAGGGGGTCCGCGACTCCTAGGGGGCCCACAGAGGTACTGCATGGGGGTCGTGAAAGTTTTGGTTGATTAAACTTTTTTTTTTTTTACATTCCCTCCTGCAATTTTTTCCACTGATTGAAATTGCCTTAAATTAGATTACATTAGATTAGATGAAATGAGCTTTATTGATCTCACAGCGGAGAAATTCACTGGTCACATATTGGCATAGTAAATAAATACACATTAAAATTAATTCAACACACTGCAGTAAACAGATAAATGGAGACAGAAGATATCTTTCAGTCATCAATGCACACATTCAGCGACACACAGGAGCTCTTTCAATCTGGGCACCATTTCATTCACAACACCTGTCCCATCAACCAGGAATCAGAATCAGAAATACTTTAATAATCCCAGGGAGAAATTACAGTACTTTCGTTATATGACTCCATCTGTAATAGAGTGACTATAGGACCAGTTTGATAGAACACAATTTCATACAGTATATATAATTAGGGGGTCCCCGCTCCACATCGCCATCAGTGTGGAGGTCCTTGGCCCGGAAAACTTTGAAGACCCCTGGTTTAGGGTGATATCCTGAGGAATCGCTAAACCAAACCATGGTCTTTCTGTGGTTGTTTAATAAACATGAACTGGCTTTATTTTTCAAAGCACATCTGATACAATCGCTGATAGTGTTTGACAGGCTTTGAGGTTCACTTTTGGTGTCATCCTACTGCACCACCTTCTACGCAATCTCTGTGCTGCATACATGGCTTAAGGCAAACTATGGATGGTTCTCACGGCCGATTTTTCATGCAGCCAGATTTGTGGATGACACACTAATGTAAACTTCTACAACAGATTCTCCCTCCTTAGGTGTGTGTCTCTACTGCTCCATTAGACTTGGCTCACTGACAGCTTCTGTGTCCAGCCTTTTTATTTAGAATGAGAGCTGTGCTTCTGAAAGGTAACAGTTGAGGCAAAGTTATTTCCCATATCAGAATTTAGATGGGTCCGACTTAAGATGTTCAAAAATTGGGATAAACTGACTTTATCCCTTTCTTCTCTGGAGTGCTCCTTTGTCTTCACAATGCTAATTGATTAGCAATGTTCTCTAACAAACTCCTTAGGCCTCCACAGAGCAACTGAAGCTTAATTAGACACGTCCAGATTTTATTTAGGGACGTTCTGAAGATAGAATGAGGTGAGACCAAGTCATTGTTTTGCAACTCTAAAATTTTTAATGCCCATATTTTGAGTCAAGTCAGACAAGTTTCAAGTCAAGCCAGGTAACTCTCGGTTCTAAAACTTTGACCTTTCATTCATTTGAAATCATTTTTAACTATGTTAAATTATATGTTAAATGTAAATAATGAATGTGTTCTTTTTAAAATCTTTATTTATATCAGTGCATCTTTTGTCTTTTTTCTTTCATGATGGACCTTCTCTAGCTGTATCATTTCCTTATAGTTCAAGGGAACAACTCACCTTGTGTCAAATGATAAAAAAATCCTCTTCACACATTTTACTAAATATTTTTCATTCACATTCTGTAAATATTAATATATTTACATATGAAAGGGTTTAACTAGGCATTTTATCATTTAGAATCTCAGTTTTGTGTCATTTTTTTCTAGGCATTATACAACAATTCTTAAAGTTTAGGCTTGAATTTACTCAGATTTCAGAATTTATACATTTTAAAATGATCTAACTATGATCAATCCACCCATGTGCTTAACAGTGGGAGAAACATTTATCTTTTAAATCTCTGCACTGTTTTCCTAGTCATTCCAACTTATAAATATTACAAAATCACCAGATCACCAACATTTTTCATAATGGCTTGTTTATTACTTTGTTCTTTTGAGTAATCATTAAGGCATTTAGAAGTATTATTGGCCTTCCTAAATTTAACTGAACCCCTACTGTTCCTCAGGCTTCCATTACTTAATTACAACACAAACAAAGGAAATGGGCTCCTGAAAACCTTTCACAGACTTCAAATGGCTTTATCCTGCTATGGGTACCAGTTATTTTAATCTTCATAGAGGGTGAGGCTGTTTCTTAGATGGATGGAGGTTTTTTTTTTGGTGGGTGGCTTGAGGAATCAGAGAAATGACTTGATTGTTTTTTAACAAGCCTTTCTTGAACAAGTACAAATGTAACTTTTTTTTTTACAGTTCAAGAGTTCTGGAAAAGTCTGACCTGTAAATACACAGGAAAGAAGTAGTTCTGCAACCATGAAAGGTAAAGTCAAATATTCCATCTTTCTTATATGTTGGAAAACTTACATAACTATCACAGCATTGCCTTGCATTGCACTAATCTACACAATATTTCCATTTTTTTTTTCGAATTTGGATTTTCCAATTTACCAAGCCATAGGCGACTTCAAGGATTAAAGAGGGTAGCACCAAAGCACAGAATGAAAGGGAGGGAAAAGAAACTCCTTATCGTTCCTGCTCTTTAACTTCAAGCTGCAATTTCCCAGATTTGATCTCAAACAGTTGTAAACATGAGCCTATGTGGGCTCTGCAGCCATCAGTTCCACTAATGCATCAGCAGGGTTGTATAAAGCAACTAGGTTCAATAAATGGCTACCACTAGTGTTTTCAGCTGAGCTCCTAAGGAGGGCAAGAGGTGAGAAGGCTGAGGGCACTTTGCCCCCTTCAAGATTATGAGCTCTACAATAGGAGCCGAAAAATGCTTCAAAATCAGATTCCAGCAGGATGGAGAGTGTTTGTGCAGGAGAGGGCTTTTATCAGTGGCAAACACTCACAGGAAGTCCGGTTTGGGGATTGTCCATCCAATTCCTGCGTTCCACAGGAAGCGCAGCATAAAAAGCAACTGAAAAACGCCCAAAGACATTTCATTTGTCGCCAGCCAGCTCGCAGGGAGCACCTCAAATTGGTCGCAGGGGTGGGTTTTTGAAAAAATCTGCATTTTTCAGCCTCAACTGAGCTTGAGCTTTAAAAAGAAACTGGAAACATGGAGAGCTCCTCTGAGCCACGGGTCTGGGGGCTCGCGCCCACGGCCAGCAGACAGCCTGCGCGCGCACATGCCCCTGATGAACGCATACTGCCCGGGTAAGATCTCTACACTCTCAGACATCATTAACTCAACAAGTTTGCTTTTTTACACAAGGTTAGAAGTAGATGTGGTTTAATTATACTAAAAACGTCAGATTTTGGAAAATCTGCCCATTTCTTTTTACTACAAATGATATGCATTAGGCTTCAGTACAGATATGCAGAAAAAGTAAATAAATAGTTATGAATAATTATGGAGATAAAACAAAGACATTTGCCTTCAGTCTGTTGTGTCTGATGAATACTAGAATCCTATCCTCTTTTTCATTCATTTAATGCATCAGAGCTGAAAACCCCACATCTCTCAATGTATACATGAGTTAACAAACATTTACTTTTATGTATTTTTCGTGTGTTTAGTAAAACAGTGGATAAAAGTTATAGATACGTGCTTTGATGCTCAAATTGGAAAAATCTCAAAGTTTCATTATTAGATACCTTGAATAAAGAATCTGTCATATTTTTCCTCTTTTTATTTTTAGAGTCAATAGAATTATTGAGTCATTACGTTATATTTTAATGTATGTAATGAAAGGCTTTCATAGCTGTAATAATTTAAATTTAATTGTCATAAATACACCTAATTAATAAAAACGTCCATTTATAAATCTTTATCAATAATGAAACACTAATAATCAAATTTCAACTTAATTTGAATTTAAACACGTCATTTATTTATTTCATATTTCTTGCTGTCATTGTTGCAGTTGAATAGGGGGAATTATTAATTCAATTCAGTTTATTTCTATAGCGCCAATTCACGGCACATGTCATCTCAAGGCACTTTACTGTTCACCAGATCATACAGTCAAGTTGATTCAAAGTTTTCTATGTAAGAAAAACCAGTTGATTGCATCGACTCATTGACTCGAAGGCAATCCCTCACATCAAGCATGCTTGTAGCGACAGTGGAGAGGAAAAACTCCCTTTTAACAGGAAGAAACCTCCAGCAGAACCAGGCTCAGTGTGAGCAGCCATCTGCTGAGGCCGACTGGGGTTCAAGGAGACAGAAGCAGAGATATATAAATAAAAAAAGGATTAAAACCTATTTAGGATAACAATGATGACCCCGCCCACTTATTTACATGGTTAATGCTAAAATATGAAATATTCATGAATGTACGGCTAATAATTATGTAAAACATATACTTAAGTGTGTTAAATTAAAGTTCCTTGCAAGATAATGACTTTTTTTACGAAATAAATAATTACATATTTTACTTTTCTTTATGCATCCATTTATTTGTAATAATAACGACTGTTAAAAACACACACACACACACACACACACACACACACATACATATATATATATATATATATATATTTTGCTTATATAATGTCTGCACTGCATCATTTTCATGAATCATTAAAAGGACAAATGTTTATTTTAAAAACTATTGCTGTATTAGATTTTAGGACTTGCCTGAAAGATTTATATACACCTTACAAGGTAGAGGCTCGGCACTTTTGTACAAAAAAATTTAAAAATTACATAAATAAATCTTATTACTTCTCAGACTATTTTATTATATTAATACAATATATACAATCAATGTTTATTGTTTTATTATTATTATTATTATTATTATTATTATTATTCTTTAGAAAAGCAGCAACAACAAAAACCCTAAAGGCAACAAAAATATTTTTGCAATTAAATAAAATCTAAAGTGCTTTGATCGTTTAATGAACATTACGTCACTCTTTGAAGTCTCAGCCTTAAAGCGATGCTGCGTCTATGGCAGGCTTCTAATAAATATGTAAACGGCCTGCCATAGTCTTGTAAAGCGTAGGGGGTTTCTGAAGGAAAAGAATAAAAAGTGGGAAGACGAAAAAATGTCAGTAGCGTGACGTCAGCGCGGGTCCCCCCCAAAGCGCGCGGGTGACCCAGCTGAGGCAGTGGAAGGAGGTCCTTCCATCACCCCCCATGCTCTCTCTGACAGTCTGAGCTCTGCTGGCGGACTGTTATCACTGGACTTTTACCTGAACAACTGATTTTTTTTAGTGAAGCGGTTAGTTTTTAGCGATCCTCACCAAAGGATTGTTTTTATTTTTTATTCTAATGGGCAACAATTGTGGAAAGGCTGATTGTTAACTGAACGGTTTGTAGTTAATTTGTTTTCCTATCCATGCATGCGCTCCGATGGTGTCTGCTTTCAAATATCCGCCTGCGGCATCTATGTTCAGCTTATAGAAACATTTTGTATTTCCTTTGTCCGTTCAAATTTGTTTCTCGGAGTCTTTAGCATCACTTTACGGCGTAAGTTAGAGTTACGGAGAAGTAAATGATGGATGTGAGTCCGACGCGCAAATCTGTGCAGATTGCTGCTGGGAAACAGCACCACCCAGTGGCGCATTTTAAGAACTACAACTAGTTATCTTGGAATTTATATGATTTTTTTTTTTATGGGGGGGGGGGTTAGTTCTGCATAAAGCAGATAGGATATGCTTATATATAAAGTAAAACATTTATAAGGAATTATACATTAGTTTTGAATAATTCAATCAGTTGGCTTATTCTCAGTGTAAGAAAGCTTTTTTTCTGCAAATAGATATAAGTTTTGATCAATCTGAAACTTTGTTTTTAAATATCTATTTAGAGTGCTACTGTCTGATTTAAACCAATTTAATATTACATTTCGTAGTTTTATTTAGCAGTTTTGCACAACTTATAAAATAGTTCTACATAGAGATAGTAGTGTGTTATGTGCCTCATAGTGGTTGTAAAGAAAGACATTATGATTTATATAATTCACATAAGAAAAGTTTGTTTAGCGGTCACTTGGTAGCCTTAAAACATGAATGCTGTAAAAAAAAAAAAAAAAAAAAAAAATTTGTTGCTTGGGAATGGATTCTTAAGTGGAAGTGGCTCCTTTAATCAACTCTCTTAGGGCCCCCTTTAAACCCTGAGCAGGCCCCGTGTCTGTGCTTGCACAAACCCATGCTCTCAGACATGTGATGTTTATCATGAATATAAACATCATTTTAAATCACAGGCTCTTACAGTAAATTTCTCTCAACTTGTACAAAAAATCTCACATCTAGTAACTGTTTCATAGCAGCCTTCTGCTGCTCTGACAGTGCTGCTCACCATTGCGCTTTATGAATGAAAACAGGCTTGTAGATGTACTTTATCTCTGGGCCTGTAGCCAGCAGGGAGGGATCAGACTGACATGCACGCTGTCATCCGAGGATTAGCATCACCTCTAGGATAACTATGCTCATCCGTCAGGCTACACAGTCTTATAACCTGGGATTGTTCTCAGCAGGCTTTAATATACTGGGTGAGATTCCCGAGGAGTTTAATATGTGTGTTAAAACAGGCCCTACAGACAGGTGGTCTTGTCTCTTTTTCTAATAATCCTGTGCAGAATGTGCTGATCTAGGTGTTTATCTCTCCTGCCTCAGAGTCAGAAAATGTGTGTGGGCACGGCCGGCCTAAGCTTGCATTGGGCCCTTAGCTGAGTTACAGCTCCTACCTGCTGCCGGCCGCTGGTCTGGGACAGTGTTCAAGGCTACAGCCACATAGCGTCATGTTGAATATTATAACTGTCACCTGCCTCAGTAGTGATAACAATATTGTATTTAATTAATTTAAATGCAAAACAAAATGATATAAGAAACATATCCCATGCTGTATGGTCTTTTTTATGATTTTTAGAAATTCTTACTACATAAAAAAAAAAGATTTAAACAGCCATTAGTATAAAAAAAAAGATAATAAAAATGTGAATATATAAATATAACAAAAAACTAATTATCGGGGACTGGAATTTTGATCTAGAAAATTAAGCTTTGTAAACTGGTTAAGAAATCCAGCGCTAGAGTTTGTCACTTTTCTGCAAACTAAACAATCCAAAAAAGATTGCAATAAAAACAGAAAATACATTAAAAACAGAAGCATTCTAAATTTATCTCACAAAAAAATCACACATGATAACCATCATTATTAGAAAGCCGAAGAAAAAAGAAAGCTTCAGCATTTTTTCTAAAAAAAAAAAGCAAATGATGTTATTTATTTTGTGTGTTTTATACAGTTTTTTGTGTTCTTTCTCTTTTTTTGCACACCAGGCTTTCCATACATTCCCTTTAACCTACCATTTACTAGAGAATCATCCTTCATCTGAACACGTTTCATCCCAGTCTGGTTCTGGACCCACACCAATGAATCTTCTGCACTCAGCTCTTCTCTTAATGTCACTTGAAGACTCCCTGCTGTTCGTTTTAAGCTATTAAAGCTGCTCTTTCTCACCTTTTTCTCCCCATCCGGTGCTAAATGGAAAGCTTACTCGGCTTCCCACAGCTCTCTCTGCACTAATTTCAACTTTTTAATACTCTGCTCTGACGCCCGCTCAGCTCAGACACAACACAGCTGACGCTCGCTGTGCTCAGTCCGTCTCTCTTCAAGTCTCCCTCTTCACAGCAGATAAGGATGACCTGTGGCTTTGCAGGAATGAAGTCTATTCTATTTGAGTTCCTGCAGAACATTTTCCAGAATTTCCATCTGGTGAAAAAGGAAAACGTATTTTCTGTTTAACTGATCACAACTTTTTCTTTTTACACAGGTAGCTGGGGCCACCACAGACATTCAGCGTGAACAATCTGGCTACGCTCTTCTGTCCTGCATCATCCTCCCTACGATTGGCACAGAGGAAGAGTTTGAGCCTGGGGAAACGTGGGAAAGAGGAAGACGATGTACCAAGAGCTGCTCCTCTCCTCTGCCCTCCTCTTCCTCCATGTGATGGGCACTCCCCACTTCTTTGGGCATCATGGGTAAAAGCTCTGCTAAATCTCTGCGTTTATCATAGACTGTCACTTTGTCACTAACCTCACCCTGAGATGTTTGCTTTAAGGAAGCCGTTCCTGAATGGGACGTTCCCAGATGACATGCAAACATTTAGGAGGTCATTCTCCCAGAGGCCAAATCTCAGATGATTAGAAGTGGATAGGCTGTCATTTATGGAATGGGGTGGGTGAGGACCAAAATAAACTAAACTAAGGGTCAAGTGCAGACAGGAAGGTCAAAGATCAGCTCTTAACTGGGACACATAGGCCACTGATGGTTTTAAAAAGACAATGCTATTGGGATCAAGATCACAAAAGATGTAAAAAAGTTTTTATTTTTTATTTATTTATTTTTTTTAATAAGGGCAAGGGTAAACTTCAACCTGCTCTATTTTTGTTGTTTTTGCTCCAGAAGGCGGACATGTGGGCAGGACCTCCGTCACAACGTCGTCACGACAACAGAGTCCTTCGCCCAGCCTGTGCACAAGCCCTACATCACCCTGTGTCAGGGCCATCGCCTCTGCAGCACATACAAGTGAGAAGCTCACACTTTCACCAAGCTCTCCCACCAGGCAAGAAAAAAAGATCTATACTCTGGTCACAGAGCTGTTAAAAACAGCTTTTAAACCAAGACGTCCGCATGTATAAACAACATCGGAGCAGGAGAAAAAGGTGCAACAGTTGTGAAATGAGCTTCCCTTTCTCCCAAAACACACACACGCACGTAGAAATCCGTACTGTACACAGAAGTGGGTCACAGTGGCACATAGTTTGAGTGGAATCTAAATATCGAGTACTTTGTGTAACGACGGGAAATGAGCTGCCTGCCCGCAGAGACCGCTGCCTTGTTTATTTTGGACTCTCCGTACTAGCACCCTCCCAGCTGCTCTCCAGCCCCCTTACCTTCTCCACATTTTTTAATCCCTGTTAACTTTTTCTCTCAGTAAAGCTCACTTTCCCTTTTTTTTGGATCTGTTTTCTTGGATCTTATTGCACACATGTCTCCAGTTTCTAGATTTAGCCTCAATTTATTGCTCTTAATTCCCCCTCCTCTGGTAAAACAAACAAACCATGTTCTCAACAGCCTGAAGCCAGAATAGTAGATAACAGATCTGACATTGCATCATTTCTGCCCTCTTCTCATCCCTGACACCTTCTTCCAAAATCCCTTGTTTGTCTGCTCCACTGAATGCTAACATTCTCGTCTATTTATCTGATCAGACAGAAGGTCCTGCTACTCTCCAAATGACCTGTAACCCCTGACTCTGTCACCTCCACAGAACTACGTACTCCCTGGCTTACCGGCTGGTAAGCAGAATCGCTTCAGCCTCGCATTTCTACCCAGACTGCTGCCCCGGCTGGCGGAGATTTCACTCACACAACTGCAACCAAGGTATCCGAAATAAAAGTGAAATGCTGATAAAAGGTTTTACTCTCCCTCTATCTTCATTTGGCCAAAATCCAGAGTCAGCTGCAGCTAACGGGTAGTTTGGCATTTTTACCGCCTTAAAATATCTTTCATTGTCGAAACACAATATAATGTAGCTGTAAAACGGTCAGGTTTGCTCTAGGCTTTTTAAACAGGAACGCAGTGTCCGAATGTCCACCCTAATCAATATATAGGGTACTTTATAATGGTTAAGCCATACGTCTAGTGGACTTGAATTTTCCCACAATGCACCTTGAAAAGTAGTGATCATGATCATTAGACAATCAGATATTAGCTGCCAAAGCGGCACACTGTCGCTACCCAGCAGGGGCGACAAATAAAGACGGCGCAGGCATGGGCGTTCAGTTTTTTAAGCACGCATGACCCATGGAAACCTTAGTTCTCGACGTGGCCGACCCGGGTTCGAATCCACCTTGTGGTCCTTTGCCGCATGTCTCTCCCCTGCTTTCATACCCCCTTTGCTGTCAGCTTAGTGTTTAAAAAACGCTGTAAAAACCTAAAAAAAAAAGATAGGTTAGGACAGATGTTCGGACACCGCCGAAATGAAGACTGGAGGCGGTTCGCCGCCAATTGTTTTGCTCTTTTGTCGACACTGAAACATTTAAAGAGTTTCTGGTCAGACCAACAGCCTTTATTAAAACAACTAAAACAAATTATTTCAGTGGTTTAAGGATCGCATTTTAATGTAGACTCATTCTTATTTTAAGCAGCTGCTCTGACCAGAAAAGTGCTGCTCTTTGGACATGTTTCACACAGGAAAATAATTGCTGTTCTCTTTCTCCAATATAAATAACCATTCAGAATGAAAGAATATCAGGGTACTTTAACAGTTTACATTCAGCATTAGCACAAACCACAATGATTATTGCTCTTAGGGCAAAATATCTGATCAGTTCAAAACGTGTTTTATTGATTTAGGTCAACTATGACTTTATTTAGTAGACTGAATTTGAAAAGTAAAAATTTTCAATGAGTTTAAATAGCAATGTAGTTTAATAAATGGATTTAAAACCATATATTACCAATAAAATAAATCAATCTGTTTTAATGGAGCACGTCTCATAGCTAGGAATGTATGAAAAAGTGCTATTGATTAATTAAGGAAATACATGCATATATGAAATAAGGAAAAAAGAAATAAAAATCTTAGTAATATAAAAAAACATTTGAAGGATGACGAAAATAAGAAAACACAGTTCTGTATTATATAGTTGGTTCTTCGTAGGTCTTACATCACTAACGGGGGAGCAAATTGAACAACATACAGACATGTGCAAGTCGACTGTTAGCAGCTGAAGGGAGTTTAAAGTGAACTTTGAATATTTTTAGTTAGAGTTTTCCATATAAATCAGATCTGTTTTGCAATTGTTTTCAGTATTATCTGATAGGAAATGATACATACATAAAAAAAATAAAATAGTCCACCCACCTCTAATTTTTTTCATATCTTCAGACGAAAGGTCTGATTAGAGGCTGAACAATAAAATAAGCAATAGCAGACAACAGTGGGAGTCAGAGGGAAATTTAATTTGTTTCCCTATAAAGGTTAAAATCATTTAAAGTAATGATCATGAATCAGGGCTGATTAATAACTTTTGATGTGTTTCCTAGCTCTGTGTGCAGAACCCTGTGTTAACGGTGGAACCTGTTTGAAGCCCAATAAGTGTGCGTGTGCTCCTGGCTGGACGGGACAGCAGTGCCAAAACGGTATGCTGAAAATAAACCACTTCCACCTTCACAAAAATCCATAAGCGCACCCACTGATTTATTTGATTTCTTGGCTGACAGATGTTGACGAGTGCAGTGGGTGGCAGCCCTGCACCCAGCTGTGTGTTAACACAGCTGGAAGCTACAGATGTGTCTGCAGGGATGGCTTCAGACTGGCTGGAGATGGACGTTCCTGTCACCAGCTTCCATCTCCTCCTCCTACTCAGACTCCCAACCAGATTGCAGGGAGCCACGCTGATGCGGGTAAATGAGCATTGAATGCATGCATGAGCCTAAGTTACATGTGTCAACGTTCTGCAGCAGCACAGAAGAAGAAAACATGACCAGCTTCGCGGTCCATTATTACTTTTGGTACGCGCTATGCCACTCTCAACTCGTACCGTGAGTAATAATGCACTGCGACTGGTGCCGACTCCAGACTGGTGTTATGTGAGGCTGGCTCCATGTGGTGAGACTCGGATCATTTGGACTTTGATAATGACTGTGAGTCCTGTTGCTGAAGCAAACATCTGCCTTTAATCCAGATCCCGAGCTAATACAGGCATATTTCCACCCCACACACTCCATCAGTTCCCTCAGAAATGTTCGCCTCCTCGTTAGACCAAACATTTATTTGTATTTGTTCTTCTCGCGTCTGTCAGTGCTTTGGAAAAGTGTTTAGTCCACGTTTATTGCACTGCATCCACAAACTGCAGTGTGTTTTATTGGGCTTTTAAGTGATGGATCGACACAAAGTGGTGCGTAATTATGAAGTGGAACGAAAATGATATGTGGGTTTCAACACATTTCTGGGGGGAAAAAAAGAAAAAAAGATCAATTGTGTTTAATCTTCCTCACTTTTAAGGCAGAGCAACGTTTCGGTAACAGAAATTGTTCAAAGTCAGACAGATTTGATGGGGAATTTCTACTCATGTTCCTATTAATGACTGGACTTTGACTGGACCACCCTAACACATGATTATGCTTCAAACTAAACCTTCTTTCCATGCAGCTCTGGCTCTCTTTAGGGTCTCTGTCCTACTAGAGGGGGAACCTCTGTCTCAGTATCAAGTCTTTCCATCAGGTCCATTTATCCTTTCATCACCTCTGCCCAGCTTCCATGTCTGCTTAAGACAAGCATCCCCAAGACATGACAATGGTACCGTACTGCAGACGCTGTCATGTTTATATCCAAAATCAAAGTCATAATAAATCCACTGATCTTAGGTTTAGGTCTCTGATCCATAACGTCAGGTTTAGGCTAAGCCCGCTGGGGAATGAATTAGGCTTAGGCATGAAGTCCACATTCCTTAAAGGTATAGTGGAGGATGGTCTTTCTCCGGATGGATCATCAAAATAATTTCCCCCCTAATTGTCAATCATTCTGGTGATATGTTTACATAACAAAGTTTTCCCATTTTCGGTGGAGAGTCTAACATAGTGGAAAAATTGCAAATCTTCTTTTGGAAAGTAAGCTTGTATGAGCAATGCAAACAGCAACTTTTAAACAGAGTGTGCACGAGGAGAAATGGGCTTGTGCACGCTCTCACACACACAATTAACAGGCATTCCCTCTCAGGAGCGGGTACAGTGTTGTGCATGTGCATTTATTTTTAAGGAGAGAGGGCGGGTCTTTTCAAAAATTTGCAAAAATCCTCCACAGACCTTTAAATTTAGGTTTTGTCCTAAACTCTAAGGAAGCCTTTTTCTTGTGTTTGACAGAAATTTATTAGCAAAAACATAGACAATCACATAAACAATGAAAAGGGTTAAAAAATCTTAAAAAAAAAATCAGGGGCCATTTATTAAAAAAAAATAAAAAAAATAAGAGTATAGATTCATATTTTGAACTGTCTTAAGTTTTTAAATAAAATTCTTTAACGAAGACAAGCATATAATTCTGTGGAACTAACCCACCTCTGGTATGGATTGTAAAAATAGCTGTATTTTTTTTTCTTCAACATGTTTTTCTTCTACGGGCTCCCTGACTTGTCTGCTGTGTTCCTCAGTCTCCAAGATGCTGTTTGTTCTCTAAGATGCTCTAACAACCCTCTGAGGTTTTTAACAAAACAGCTGGAGTCAATATTAGTCGATAGCAAATGATTGTTGTTTACTTTCTATATCCTCACTTCTGGCAACGGACAAATACATTAGATTTTTATTTAGGTAAAATAGGGTTGAGGGGATTATTGTGAGCAAATGTGAAACAGTTCAAGTCCTCGTGAATAGCTCTGCTAGGCAATGTGGCCACAAAACAATACACACACCCCCTCTTACCCTGCTTTATGTCTACTAATGTTGTTGACCTCAGGATTTTTCCTTTAAAGTCTGATTCCAAGTCTGCATTATTGCTCTTTGGGGAAATTATGCACCGAAAAAGAAAAACCTTCATGCAAACGTTCCTCTGCGTCATTTCTCCCGGCTCTTTTCAGCTTCAGGACTTTTTTTTTGTGAGTTACCTAACTGTGAAATCAAAACTCTTTTTTTGTTTTGTTTTGCTTTTTTTTTTGGAAGAGGTGGGGGGGGGTGGGGGGTGCTGTCTCCTGCATTCAAAGTAAAAAAGAATCTGTGCATAAATGAGAGATTGCCAAATCTCCAAGGCCCTCCTCCAAACTCCCCTCCATTTATCAGACTTTCTCCTGGAAACTGACCACAAGCTCCAAAAGTTCACCTTCCATGGCGGCGTGATGGATTGCTGAGTCAGCGAACAATGCACAGAGGACGGGGTGAAAAGCAGCAAATATGACAGGTCTAAGATGACGTAGAGATCCCTTAGAGGAGCTGTTTGTTAAAAGGAGCGTGTCTGCTCTTGGAGCTTGGATGCAGATGAGGCGTTTCGCTCCAGAGACGGCTTTCAAATATCTGTTCCCATATACATGTCGGAAGGGATGTTGATGGAGATCCAGAATGTAAACAGAGGGTTTAGATGCTCAGAAGTCTGACGTCTCTCTGCCAAGAGTCTTGGATTGTGTTTGGGATTTTCAGCCTTTTCCGCCTTTTTATTCCTTTTTTTTTTTACCTCACTCTCTTCTTGGCTAACACTTATGCTCTGATTCCAGCTCCATCAACTCTGTCTGCTGGGGGTCATGCACCCAAGAAGTCCCCTCCCCCCCATCCTTTCCTCTTTTTCTCCTTTCTGTGTTTCTCAACTTATTCTTCTTTACTGTGGAGCACATCTACGAGAGATTGAACATCTCCCCTTC